AGTAAATTTTAAGTAACCAAGGCAGTATGTCGCTGGCAAAAGGACAGAAATGTAGATCAAGGGAAAAGACACGGAGAATCCAGTTAGAGTTACAGAAATAAAGGCCACTGGTCTCTGGCAAAGAACCAAAGCACTTGGTGCTGATTAAGAGGATATTCATATCCACCCTGAGTTCACCCATGGAACCTGGGCCCTTCTCAAAAGTTAAAATGGGCCAGACAGTGGTGGCAGACACCTTTAATCCCAGCACTTGGGAGGCAGAGGCAGACAGGTCTCTGTGAGTTCAAGGCCAGCCTGATCTACAGAGCCAGTGTCAGAAGAGGCTCTGAAGCTACACAGAGAAAACCTGTCTCAAAAAACAAGCAAACAAACAAAAAAGTTAAAAAGAACCATAAATGCAAGTATAAAATGGGAAACTACAAAACTCCTTTGAGAACACAGGCTAAAGTCCCATGGCCTAATGGTTGAAACTTTTGTCACTACAACACCAAAGATACTGAGAAATTTGATCTCATTAGAAACAAACAGACAAAACAAAACAACAGCAACAACAACAAAAGCCAAACGGGCATCACTGGGAGACTGAGTGTGAACTTCCCAAAGTTTGACAGTGGCCAAGAACAAATTAAATGGCAGCAGTCCAGGAATATATTTCACATAGCTAGCCAAAAAAACAGAAAAACAAATTTAAAAAAAAACCCAAACTCCATGGTTAAAAACAAGGCAAAACCAGTTATCACTAATCTTAAGAAGATAAAGATTATGAGCGGTGAAAAAGCAACAGAATGAACAGGAATTTTGTAAACTTTTCACAAAGCCTTTCTCTTAAATCTAAGCATCATGAAAATGAACCGGCTAATGTCTGTAAAGCATCAAGACTGACTGTAACAAGGGCACTTCTAACATTGCAGGGCAGTCTTTGGTGGGAAGATGATGCCTATTTTGGGGAAAGGCATACCAGCACTTTCTGAGTCTTTGGCAAATTCTGGCTACTAAATAAAAAATACTCTATAAATAAGACTGTTTACCATTCCCGGAATCTCACTGCACTATTAGTTTCCTGATTGTGGACGAATGTTCTTAGCTTTCCTTGCAGAGGGAATCAAGCCTCTGAATCTACCCCTGCCTCTCTGCAGATTCAGCAAAGGGATGGATGCAGCCTGGGCTGCCAGGGGCTTCTGAGGTGGTCTTGCCTTTGGGTAGCCGAGAAGAGCTATAATTCACCTTCTTGCTTCTGGTGTCTGCAGTGAAACCTGGGGGTTGCATTTTTTTTCTGTTGCTTTAGATGCAGCTGCCAGTGATCTACTGAAAATGGAACTCAGTGCTGGGTGTGGTGGCCCACACCAGCAATCCCTGGGGTGAAGGGGGAGCACAGTGAGTTTAAGACCATTTGGGCTGTATAGTAAGACCCTGTCTCACAAAGAAAGAAGAAAGGAAGGATGGGAGAGAGAAGAGAGGAGAAAAGAAATATGATTTACTTGTTATATAAATTCCACTTTGCCTTTCCATGTAACTGACTTTGAACAAAATCATTTCCCAAGGTAGCTGACCTCATATACTGAAGCAGTCAGCTCCTCCTGTTTCTATGGCTGCTCTTATCTAGGACTTGACAAGTTTGTCCCTCTGTTGGGAGTAGTTAACTCACTTTTCACATTAGTCAGAAATTAGTGTAATAGAGGTACTAAATACACCTTTTAGGACTGGGTTTATCATCCTCAGAGAAGGCACCGCTCTTACAATTCACCTACTTCAAGCACAACCCCCACACTAGGCTAGGCTGACAGTCTTTCCCCTTATCAATAACTTGTGCATTCACTCAGCATCCTCTCAGTTGAACTCTTAACCTCTCTCTGTCTAGTGACGTATTAAACACTTCCAACACCCCCAGGGCCTCCAACATCTCAGCTAGGCCACATCCAATGCTGAAAGCATCACTGCTACCCAACTTCCTTCCATGCTCATGTATGAGTATACTCACACTCGCTCATACCAAAGCTACCTACACCTCTCTGCATGCAACCTCCCAACAACCTTGCTGTCTCTGATGGAGCACGTGCCATCTCCTGGCTTGCTTAGCCATGTGTTTCTAGCTCCTTCAGGTCCCACAGGCCCCAATGATGATGTCCATGTGGTTGCTGCCTTTGTCTCTGACCATTGTGTCCAGTCTGGCTTCCCAACCAGTGGCTAGGTAGAGTGACTCAAGCACTCTTTTGTTGTTGTTTTGTTTTCCAGTTAACCATAGAGTGTGAGGAGCTTAAAGAGTCCAGGTATTCTAGGAATGCTAACTGGTGGTGAGAGCCAGCTCTGGCTCTGACCTTTTTAGGAAAAGGGGTGCTCCCTTTAATTTCTCTGTTCCAGAGAGAGGAGCCCTGGTTGACTGACACCCTAACCCTAATGAGGCTGTTGCTAAGGTGAGCATATTAGTGTCTGCAAACAGGTCAGCTAGGCCTATATGATCTACCTGAGTGGTCATGAGTCTCATTTAAACTTAAACCAACTGCAATTAAATACTTTACTTATTTATATTGTTACAAGACAGGGTTTCTCTGTGTAGCCATGGCTGTTCTGGGACTCCCTCTGTAGATCAGACTGACCTTGAACTCAGAGATCTTTCTGCTCTCTGTCTCCCCAGTGCTGGGTTTAAAGGCTGTAACACCATGCCTGGCTTTAAAACGGTGTTTAAAAGACCAGTTTCTCAGTCCAACTAGTGTCAGAGTTACTTCTTGCAACTCTTTTTTTTTTTTTTTGGTTTTTTCGAGACAGGGTTTCTCTGTGGCTTTGGAGGCTGTCCTGGAACTAGCTCTTGTAGACCAGGCTGGCCTCGAACTCACAGAGATCCGCCTGCCTCTGCCTCCCGAGTGCTGGGATTAAAGGCGTGCATCACCAACGCCCGGCCTACTTCTTGCAACTCTTTATGGCTGCATGCTGGACAGTGTGGCTTCGAGGCATCTCCACTACTTCTGAAGCATTGGGAGCTCTTCTCAAGTCTTAGAACTTGCACCTGGCTCTGTCTGTTTCCCCTAATTTATACAGAAAATGTTTAATAAAATCCTGCCATGTAATTCTGGGCCACAACTATGGCCAAGGATCCACCTGATCCCTGTCTACTATGATCTGTGGGGACAGAAGTGTCCTTTCACACTCCTAGAAATTTGAACTTGGCACTCGTGCTATGCCAAGCAGAGCCTTACCACCAAACCGCTCTTTGCTGACTCATTTTACCTTGTCTTTCAGGTCAGGCAAAGACCTTAATCCGTGCAAAGGAGACAGACCGCATTGTCCTTCCAAAGACCTCTACGTGCTTCTGCAATGTGGCTTTCCTAACACGTGTAAATACTGAAGGAGGAGAGTCAGACTGCCGATGCACCTGGAGAGCAAAGAACCGAAGCAGAGTTTTCTTTTCTACCAGAGATAATTCTAGAACATGGCTAATGAGAAGGAGCAAGGGGGGATCAGATGGGTCCATTGGCTTCCGCAGCAAGGCCAACTTGAGTTTCTGTTATAGGGACTTGTAGACTGTAATTCTGGATTGCAGTTATTCACTAGAGACCATGAGTTATTGGTACAACAGCTGGCCTCAGTGTCTGAGGGCACAGCGTCCTGCTTTCTAGAACCCACCATAAGCAGGGTGCAAATACAGAGAATCTCTGAAAAGAGGATCATCAACCTCTTACTGTCACCCAGTTCTGAATTCTAACAGTCAATGCAGAAGTCCAGCAAAGACGACAAAAGGATGGGGCTTTCCTTGCAAGGGAATGATCCAAACTAGGCAACTAAAAAGGTACACCTCAGTGGCCCTGGGCTCCTTTGAGAATCCAGAAGCTCTCTCTCTGGGATGTCCTTGTCTTTTCCTGACTCCCTGGCCTCCTCCTATCTCCCAAAGGCGGATATCTGTGAGAGCAGTACCTCTTCCAGACTTGATCTCTCCTGCACCGTGGTGCCCATGTGGAGGAAGGGATCTGACTACAGGGCATGTTGACTTTTATTTTTCACTGCTTTCATCACTTTTTGTCTTTGAACCAGCTCGCTGACTTTTTGATGCACAAGCCCTGGGTCCTTGGGATACTCTTACCTGGTGAAGAGACAGGTGCCAGAGAAGGAAGTCCAATACTTCTAGTCTTCTTCCTCCGGTAGGCTTTCCAGACACAAGGCAAACACGGCAAGTTTACTGCTGTCTCTGCCTAGAGGTGGCCAGAGGATCCGGGCCTGCAGCATCCTCTTCTGGCTGCTCCCTCCTTTCCTGTCAGAATTGGACGCTGTCAGAGACTGATGGCACCACTGTAGACACTATTTATGCTCATGAGTGTGGGACGAAGGAAGGGAATTTCTTAGCTCACTCACACCATGGTTCTCTGGAGGCTGATGAATCAATTGCATCTTTCATTCTTACTGCTCATGTTTCTCTCTCATTTGTTTGTTGGCCTTTTCCCCACTGAGATATAAATTAGGACGAATTATGAAACCCTTTGTTCCGTACAAGCTGGTGGTGTGTGGCTGGGAGTAACACTGCACTCAGTCCACAGGATGCTAAACACACCAAGAGGAAACTAGTCTTCTTGAATGAGCTGTGATTTGTATATTTTAAATATAAAAAAGGAGTTTTTAAAAAAGTAATGACAACAGGGAATCTACAACGTAACTCTGGCCCTTCGTGAAGACATCATCTGTGAGCTTCTATTAAAAAATAATGTAATTTTTTCATGCTGAGATTTTTTCAAAACTTCATCAAAACACCTGTGATTCATAAAGACAGAGCTGTTGGTGTTAACGTATACTATGTGTAAAGTCCTGCATTTAAGCTGTCCCTAGTCCTCCACACTCTGTTCGCAACTGCCCATCACACACACAGCTTTCTAAGGTAACACCATCTGCAGGGCGCTCTGCCACGTCAGAAATGTTAGGCATCTGCACTGTCCCCTGTGGCAGCAACTAGTGCATGTGTGGAGTGTCACTGAGGAACTACTTCCCATTGTAGTTTCCATTTCAGTGGGAACATTTGGCCAGTATCTATAGGATTGGGCAACACAGTTCCTCAAGGCCCCATAGGACACATCTCTATGGGCAGCATTGAGGTGGCTCCTCACAAAGTCTGTTCAGGCACTTTTACCCAAAGAAATCTTATAAATGGGCACCTCTGGCGGGGACTCCTCGTGTCTCCTGCCCTTGTATCAGGGACCTAGGAAGATGATCTGCTTTTGGACTCTGTACACACACTGTCCACACTGAAGATGGTTTTCCTTAATCCCAGTGGTTCTCAGCTTTGCATTTCTGGCGGCAAATGATTGGTGTGTGTTGCTGGAAGTCTCAGCAGGTGGCTCCCCACCCTTCTGGGTGACTCCACCAGTGACAACACAGGCAGAGTTGGCCCGGCTTCCTTTTTGGTGTTTTGTATCGGATAGCTGCCTGCTCAGAACCCACAGAAGCCTGCTCCTCATCCCAGACAGCTGCAGTGTCCTCTCCCCACAGACCCAGGCTCTGCACTTCCCCTCCTGGTGAGTAGTACCCTTCCCCTCCTCTGCGCCCCAGCTGTCATCTGTGTACTTGGCTGTATGCTGCCACTGAGGCAGCTACGTCCCATGCTTGCACTAATTTGTTCAGATGTCACCTGCAACATGCCCTTTTCTATAAACTTCCAGTATGGTTCAGGCTTCTTGTGGGGTGAGTAACGAGGCTCCCTCCTGACACACAGTGAAGGTCAGGTTCAAGGCCACAGTTCGTGATTTGTACTCAAAGGGAGGAGAAACTGTGTTGGTTTCCAGAAGTCTGAGAGGGGTGATACCCTTGGGTCTGAGAGGCTGCCCGTGGAAAGAACGTATCTTGCAGAGAAAACTTGGGAACAAAAAGCTTGACACCAAGAAGTGAGTAGTGTGGTGAACTCGTCAGACAGTGAAGTGCTCAGTTGTTTTAACCCCATGTGATAACTATGTTCAGTGCATGGAGTGTGTTCTACGAAAGACTGACTAAAAAAATACATATAAAACTATGTGCAGGGTGGTCACCTTCCCAATGAGTATGGGTGTATGTGTGTGTGTAGGGGGGTGTTAAAAAGAAAGTGAGGAGGTATGCCCCAGAATTTAACACTAGATAAATTAAAAAGTATACTTGATATTTTAATTTTTCATTCACATATACATATATATATATGGTGTGTGTGTGCATTTGTGATTTTGGATCTTTTTTTGTGCATTGTGGAGATATTCCTCTATGATCAGAAAGTAAGCCGTTATTTTAAATGACCCATCTATAGGAAATAGGTGTGTTCTTTCTTTTTCAGTATGTCCGTCCACCTTCTTCAGTTCTAAAAAAAAAAACTTAAAGATTTATTTTACTTTTAATTGTGTGCACATGTGAGGAGAACAGGTGTTTGAAACACGGCGGTTGGCTGTGAGCCACATGACGTGGATGGAATCCATACCCAGATCTCTGTAAGAACAATATCTGCTCTTAACTGCTGAGCCATCTCTTCATGACCCCCCAACCCCGTTCTTTAGTTCTTAATTAGCCGGCTCTATAGCCAGCCAACAGGTCAGGGCAGCTGTTTCTGTGTTATTCTGAACCTGCAAGCAACCATCATCTGAGGGAATCTGTCCCTTTATTCTCTTCGCCACACAACCCAAAATTAATGGTCATTCCAGCACCTGGAGTTCCAGAGCCCCCTTCCTCCAATTTCTGTCGACTCTTGCCTATACTCTAAGCTTGTGTTTACAGGTCTCAGGGAAGTGAACTCCTGACCCAGGGTTGGTGAAAGGGCCCTGTGGTAAATGACTCAGAGTCCCTGATCCAATATAGGAAGGGGGGAGAATAAGCCGAGCTGTGTGAGTGCATTCACAAGCACACGTACACCATACACACAAGATGTGAGAGATGATTCAACTCGTGAGTAGCAAATAGGACAAAGGTCAAGGTGTAACTCCTGTTCACAGTAGCTCCTGTGAACGGCCCTAGCCGTGGATGTGGGAGGGGCAAGGCGCCCCCATCCGATTTCTCTGTCAGTTCCTTAAGGAAAATGGAGCATAGGAAAATAGTGGCAGGGTAAGCATGATTTCAGATTGCCCTGCCTCTCAGGCATTTTCCACTTCTGTAGAGCAAGCAGCTTTCCTCTGACTCCCTAACACTGTGCTTTCAAGCTATACGTCTTCGTTGATGTAGTCTTCCTGCCACAGAGCAATGTTCCCTCACCACCTTATCCTATGACTCTATGCCCCTTAAACCTCCAGGGTCAGCAAGAGTCACCTCCTCAGTGACACCCTCCTGGATATTCCCTGGTGCTGAAACCAGAATTCCCTCTCCCTCATTCCTACAGCCTCTCAGGACATTATCATTGTGTCATTTGCAGCCTTACCTTACCCACTGAACTTGAAAGTGGGCTTCTGGAGGGTGTTAATTGCCACACGTCTTGCTTACGTCCAGCTAGTGTGCGTCACACCTGGCCATCGACCGTGAGATGAAAGTGAGCTCAGCTCTCACAAGCTTGTGTTCTGACCAGAGCTTTTGCATAGCCTGCTACTTGACTGTCCATCAAGCCCCAGGATCAGGTAGGACTGTCATTGCCTTCGTTTCCCAGATGAGGAATCCAGGCTCTGTGAAGGGCATGTCCCTTGTTGCCAAGCCCCAAAGCAGAGGAGCTATGGTTTCTGGTCCAGTGCTCCTTGTTGTCCAGTCCACCGTGTAGACTCAGCTGCTAGGGTGTTCACAAGAAGGCCATTAGGAGAGTGAAGGACAGGTCAGGGAGGAGACAGCTGAGTTCCTTCCCTCTGTGTGTGTTTTGTCATATGTGGGCTCCTTCTTCTTCTTCTTCTTCTTCTTCTTCTTCTTCTTCTTCTTCTTCTTCTTCTTCTTCTTCTTCTTCTTCTTCTTCTTCTTCTTCTTCTTCTTCTTCTCCTTCTTCTTCTCCTCCTTCTCCTTCTCCTTCTTCCTTTTTCTTTCTTCTCCTTCTTCTCAAGGTAAGAAGAAAATGAAAGCAGGCTCTGAGACTGGCTGTGTAGTAATGCATTTGACAAGTATCTAGACAAAGATGAAAGAGAAGTCAACTTAAAACCCCGAGGCTGCCTGTGGTCTTCACACGCTACTTCAGGGAGGACCGTCTGTTCGTTTTCTCCTTTGGTTATCTCCAAGCTTCCCATGTGCCAGAAGCAGATTAATAATGGAAGAAAGATCAGCCTCGGTAAGGCAGGATTTCAGTCCCAAATAACGGCACCTGCGTGTGGACCAGGCCAGGCATGGCTCTTGTGGAGCCCTGGCTCTCCACCACAGCTGGAGCAGGCCTGCAAGCAGGTGTTCTGGAACAGAAGATCGCTGAAGATCACTAGCTGCTGCTGGTTTTCCCTTCTTTCTTTCTCTTTCTCCCTTAAAAAAAAAAGCTGACAGGTTAAAATTTTAACACTTGGCAAATATTCTAATGCATCACAGAACTTAAAAGAAAAAAAAATCAAGTCTCATTTTTCACCAGCGTTCACGGGTCAGGCTTTTGCAGGAGAGCTTCTGTTCCAACCAGCCCAAAGGGTACGAGCCCTAGTATCTTAAAAGATCATAAAGCAGTCTTGCACATTTTACATTTCAATCTAACAGTTTTAGTGGCATCTTTTTTTTTATTATTAGCTTGAAGCATCTCTTCCTCCTTTTAATTGGCTATGTGTAGTTTTGGAGTAGGTGTGTCACAACGTATCTTTGTTTCCAGATTTTTGATCTAAAAGAAAATGCTCCAGCATTGAGAGAATAGGGCAGATTTTTAGCAGAGCATCTGCTGAGCAGAGGTGTCCTTCTCTATAAATTTTGATACTTTTTGCCCTCCAAAAAGGCTAATACATACCCATACCCAAAGTCACACACCCTGTACTGTGAAGATTTCTTCATACTTGTACCAACATCGCCACTATATATTGCTGTCCTTACCCTAAAATTTGCTGTGACCAAAATCACCTTTCTTTTCTGATTTCTTTCTTCTGAAATCTTTTCTCAGATGTCATGTGATCACTGTTCAAACTCTTTATACAAAGAAAAGACAGGTAACATCAGCCACAACTAGTACTAGAAATATATATGGAATGATTTCTGACTCATACCTCCAGGTCCCTGCTTCCCAAAGACATTTGCCTAGTTAGGGGTACTTTTCATTTAGTAGAAAAGTAATTTTCATCCCCAGGTTGTGTTTTTTTCTTTGTAGCGTGAATTTCCTCTCTTAACATGGGCCTAATGATGTCTTGATGACATCTGAAATGTGATCAAACAGAAATCCATCAACCCTGAAAAGTCATTGATACCAGAATAATTCAGAAATGCAACTTGGTGAGAATTTGTGATTCTCAATGTTAGGAAGAAAAGAGAACAGTATAGTTTTCCTGAAGAAAAAAAAATGCATGTCCCATTTCTATTGATCGAGAAGAATTTTAAAGTAATAATAAACAGAAATTGGAAACAAGTTATCAGACTCCAAGAGGGAGTGTCTAAGTAACATATGGGCCAGCCCCCTTGGAAGGCTGGGGAAGGATGCTTACTAATGGATAAAATGCCATAATTTGTTTGATGAAAATAAAAAGAGAAAAAATAGAAGTGCACACATGCATAGAAACAAGGCCGGGGAGGAAAATAAGAAATTGATATCAGTTATTTGGAGATGTAAATGTTTTGGGTACTTTGACTTTTTTCTCTTGACTTTTGTATATTTGTCAAAAACTTTAAATTTTTAAAGGATGTATTTTTTGGTGTGTTTGTGTTTGTGTGGGAGTGTATGCCTGTGAGTACAGATTCCTATAGAAGCCAGAAGTATGGGCTCCTCCTAGAGCTGGAGTTATTAGTGGAATTATTAGCCCTCCCTGATGTGGATGCTGGGAACTGAACTCTAGCACTCTGTAAGAGCATCATATACTCTTAACTGCTGAGCTATTTCTCCAGCCCCATAAAAATGTTTTTTAAGCTAAAAAAAAACCAAAACAGTATTTTTAAAGACAATATAAGGACTTACCCAGATACTACCAGCTACACTGAAATTCAGTGAGACTGTGGCCAAGGCCACACTGACTCAGGCCCATTTCAGGCTTCCTTCTTTCTGTCTTGGGGGTAAATATCTAAGACATTTTTTCTACATTTTTGGGGGGGGTAAGTTTTTCAGATCTAATTTCAAACATACAGGAGACACAGAGGCTGTATATATTTATTTGCTTATCTTCAGTATATCTAACCCATTTACCTATGTAACAGAATTTTACTTTTTAGACAGGGTTTATTAGACTGAGCTGGCCTGGGAACTCTCAATTCTGCTCTTTGACGCAGGTGCTGGGATTACAGTACGGCATCACCACAATCACCCTCTACTCCCACACTTTACAACTGTGAGTTTGTGTGGCTCCCTCATTTCCAAAGCGCAGCACAAGACACTAACTAAGGCACTAGAGAGAGAGAGAGAGAGAGAGAGAGAGAGAGAGAGAGAGAGAGAGAGAGAGAGAGAGAGAGAGAGAGAGACATGCTGCAGGGAGAGCATGAAAGCAAACTCTGGCAGCTTCCTGTGGGCTCGCTGATAATGGAGGTGACCGATTACTGAAAGGAGGGGGGAAAACAACAACCTTATTTCCCTCTTTATTCGAGGCTTCTTTGAGTCTTGGTGACAATAGCCACAGACACCTACCTACCCCTGTGAGACTACCACAGTCATAGGTCTCTCACCTCTCCCTCAAACTTCCTGGCTCACCTTCCCACCCTCTGTCTCTCCTCCACTGCCTCCTTCCAGGGATTGCCACCGGAGGCTAGTCTGCACTATCTTGAGTTTTATGTAAGTGAAAGCAAACAGTATATATACTTTGGGATTCCTTAATCTGCATAAAAGTATTCTGAGACCAATTTGAGCTCCTGTGTGAAGCGACAATCCATTCCTTCCCCTGTCCCGTGAATGTTCAGCAACTTTCCCATTCATTACTAAATCAACAGTTTGACGGTCCCTTTAGCTGTCACCAACCAAGCTGGTTTGGAGATTCGGTGTGCAAGCTTCTGTGGGGACATAGGGTTGAATTTTTTCTTAGGTAATTACTTAGGAGTCGCAGAGTTAGATGTACCGTAAGCACACGTTGGACTTTTTACGGAGCTGCCAAACTTCTCCAGTGGGCTGGGAGACGGCTCTGCTGTAAAAGTACTTGTACAAGCTTGAGGACACATTTGGATCCTCAGCACTGGTAGAAGCCACGTGTAATGGTGAGGTCTGTTACCCCAGCCCTGAGGAGGCATCCAGGATAGCTGAAACAGTGAGCTCCGGGTTTAGTGGGAGGTCCTGCCATAACGAAACAAAATAAAAAAAGACAAAACAAAAGAGATAGGTCCTAGAGAGATGGCTCAGCAGTCAAGAGTATTATTGGTGGCTGCTCTTCCAGAGGATCTGGGTTTGATGTCCAGAACTCACATGGTGGCTTACAAACATCCACAACTCCAGTTCCAGGGGATCTGATGCCCTCTTCTGGCCTCATCCGGTACTACCCGTATCTAATGCGCAGTCATACAAGCCGCTAAAACACCCATATGCATTAAAAAAAAAAAAAAAGACAGGTAGAGAGTGAAGACACTAGATGTTGACCTCTGACCCTACCAGGCACAGGTATGCTTATACATATATACAACACACACACACACACACACACACACACACACACACACACACACACACACACACACACTGACAAACTATTTTTTCAGAATGGTTGCACCTCATCTTGTGCAGTGAAACCCACAGTGCTTTGAGACAGGCAGGGTGGAAAGGGAAGCCGTAAGAAGGGAGGCAGCAGAGCACACTGTGTCTAGCACCAAGATGTGTGGTACTGACGGAGGGTAGGGGTGGAGGTGCTCTCCAGGCACAGACCCCTCCACAAAGGAGTCCAACTACGGTTACACCCATCCCAGCTGAGTGCCTGGACACCCTTCTTCAGGGATCTCTGGCCTGGTATTGCTAGCTCATGCCTGGGCGATATAGTAAGGTGGGGGTGGGGAGGAGAGGAGCCATTCCCCAGACCTTACAGAAGTTGAGCCAGGAGGAAGTGAACTACCAGGTAAGGATGGGCTGGAGACTATCCAGGAGCCCCTGTTGTTCCTCATCCACAGATGTACGTTTCACTAGTTATTTAAGTTAAAAGAAATTAAGCATTAAACTCTGGGTCTATTGGAATAAAGAAGTAAGCGGTCGCTCCAAAACTGTTGCTTTCATTATATGTTTTCAATAATATTCTGATACGCTGCTGTGATCTGAAAAGGGACATGAATCCTAATGCTTTTTTTGTGACTGTTTTTTCCTGCAAACACAAACAAGCTTAATGTTGAATCTCCATCTTTGGTGTTTTGTTCCCAGAGTGCATCTATATCAGAGTGCACGTATTCTTCCTGACTTTTGCCCTTTCTTTCTAGAAGCTGGCTGGCATCAGACCCACCATGACACCCACAGAACCAACGGTGAGTACAGCCTCAGAAACACCTACCTACTCTCTGGTCTTCTCTGCACAGGAATGTGGGGAAGAATCTCCTATGGGCACAGATTTCCTGTGTGGTGCTCTGTCTAGGGTAAGATCTCTGGCAGCAGTGCCCATCACTATGTGGGTAATTTCTGGTTACCTCCATTCTCTTTGTGAACATTGAGTCAGGGTTGGGAGTGACATGCTGTGAAGACAGAAAATTTCAATTTAAAATTTTATTCATAGCTGAGGGGTTTTGTGCTCTTCGACTAGGATGGGCTTTGCCCCATGTGTGTTCTGAAGCTCACACAGAAGAAAGCAATGGAGAAACCATTTGATTTGTTTAAAGAAAAAAAAAACCCAGGGTGGGGACGTGGTGTTCTCCGGAGGTCATAACAGCACACAGCCGTTTCAAAAGCACACAAAGCTATTTCCCTAAGAGGCCAAGAACTGAATCAACTTTACCAGGTCAAATCATTATCTAGATTTTAAAAAAATAATTAACACAAAATGTAATTAGACTGTAGGATGAATTAATTATAGAATCAAATCTATTCAAAACATCTTACAACAGTATCCGAGGCCTTTCATTTTTCTTCTGTAAAGGGGAAAATGTAAGTTTTACGTGTAGATGATCAAAACCACACCTCTTCAGTGGGCTTTAAAATGTTTCCTTCCAAATACCAAGACTTACAGAATGGGGTGGTTGAATTAGGTTGCCAACAAAATTATTTATAACACACCAATATGCCCTTAGCATTGTCTGGGAATATTTATATGGTTACACACATTGTTAATTTGATCCCAGCGAGGTGAGGAGGTGCCCTTGATTTTCTCTGTAGTGAATTTGGCTCCTGGCCTCTGAGGCTCAGGGATCGATGGTGAACAGGCTGCTTCTGATGTGCCTATCCTTTGGGATTTTGGAAAATAGGCAAACTTGAGCCAGGTAGATCTCAGAGAGATTGGGGTTCCCACACCAAGTGTAAACTGGCTGTATAACACCCTGATCTTACCTCTTGAGGACACACCACTCTGGTGTCCCTATTGCTGACCAGCAAGCCGAGACTGGGAAAGTTGATGGAGGAATCGAGACCTCAAGAAAATTGGAGGAGCAAAATGAGGGATGTAGGTGTTTTAATCTTAGCCCAACAAAAAGCCTGGCTCCCTGTGCTTCTTCAGGGGTGCTGCGGAAATCTGGATGCCTAGGGACCCAGAATGTTTGCCATTCCTCCTTGTATTCTAGCATCCTGCAGGGGGTTTTCAGCTCTTTCTCTGTGTTTGCTCAGGGACCCACCTTTCCCAGCTCGTTTCCCACCTCTTGAGCTGACCCCTCTATCACGTACCTTTACTTCTTCCTTCCTTTCCTTGACCCCTTACTCATTCTGCCACCAATATCTGTCTCTGTCCTAGGATGCTGCATTTGTGAGTGCGTGTTCCCTGGGAAATGTCCTCCCCATGTCCTGTATGGAGGGCTTTGCTATTTGCTTCCAAGCCTTGGGATAATTTAAGAGTCTAGTAAAGCTATTTTAAAGCACCAAAGCAAGCAAACAAAAATAAACAAATAAGAAAACTAAAAAAAAAAGTAACCAACAAAACTCTCTACAAAAGTGTTTCACATCCCCTCTGTGTGGACTACCCATTATCCTTACTCATCTTCATAGTTTAGCTGATGCCCTTCCAAAGTGTTATCCTCCATTCTGTAAGTCTTCTACCATCCTGGTTCTGGGTCTAGGTGCTCTCATAGTTTAATTTCATCCCCCAAAAGCTCTTCTTTCTCTCAAAGTCCACTCGGGACCCTCATCTGGCAGCTTGGCTTTTCCAGGGAGCCGAGACTTTTCACCTGGTCTCGTGCCCAGTGTTGGCAGAACTTTTCTGGTGCCAGAGATGGGTCCTTCTGATGCTGGAATTTCAGATGACTGCATGGAGAGAAGTCTTTAAATTTAAAGTAAGAATTTGTGTCTCAGAGAGAGGATCTTTGCTCAACTTTTCATAACAATGAGCTCTTGAGAGGACACTTGAGAGGTCCTCTTGCTATCTCCTGACAGCCAGGGTTGAAGTAGGTTGGACTTAGTGGTGTGAGCTTCAGAATTCTACATCAGCTTTCCATTGTCTATTGATCTTTATCAGCTGATTTAGTGCGTACTGGTATCTAATAAAAACCAAGCATACATGTACACATATGCATGCATGCACACATTCACAGAGATACTATCCCATATTCAAGCAAGTCAAGGAAACATTGCTAAGGAAACATTTAAAGGATATCTCAAGAGCCTTTTATTGTGCCAATATGCAATTAAAATTAAAAAAGCTCTATAGGACTTTTTCAGAGATTAATCTGCTTGGGATAATTGTGACTTTCAAAGATGAAAATGCAGTATACAGAGTTTAGGAAAGACTGGTTGGTCATCAGAAGCACATAGGAGTTATATAGATAATGAGCACAACTAATAGAAAGTAGGGGAGTTATTATTCAATATGAATATTTAAATACATAAACTAACCAATTATTCTTACATATTTACTTATATTAGCTACCTAAAACAAAACAAAACCCTCACAGAAATTATGTCTAGTTCAAAATGGACAGATGACTTGAAAAATTATTGTACTTGTCTCAAGGAAAAGAAATGCTGTGAGATTGTCCTCTCACAAAAGAAATGCAGAGAATGTTCCTCAGGGCAAGACACTGGTGACTAAAAGTCTCTGTGAAATTATAAAGCCTAATGGGAGCCCCGAAGAGGGATGGGAGGAGGTGAGATCATGTGGGTGTGTGATGGAGGCTTCAACAATGTCACAGTTACCATGCTTTGGATCTGGCACCCTCCTACACCGTTATCTGCCCGCCCAGGTTTCATTCATCCCCTTTTCCAACAGTGGTACCCATAGGAAGTACAATGACACATGTGATCACATATGTCTAGATATGTTTATGTATGTGTCCTTGTGTGTAGATGTGCATGTGAGCAGGAGGGTGGGACTGTTTATGCAGGAGAGTGAGCAAGTGCCTGTGCCCTACGTATGTGCCTGTCAGAACCATTGCCTTGGGGGTATGACCCTTGTGGTCACACAGGGGTCATGTGTTTAAGAACAGTCATATTTGGGGCTGGGGAGATGGCTCAGGGGGTTAAGAGCCCTGGCTGCTTGCTCTTCCAGAGGTCCTGAGTTCAATTACCAGCAACCACATGGTGGCTCACAACCATTTATAATGAAATCTGTGGTGCCCTCTTATGGCCTGCAGGTGTTTGTGCAGGCAGAGCACTGTATACATAACAAACCTAAGCAAACAAAACAATGTTCATACTTGAATTAATGCTCACTGTCTTGAAATTTTTGATAATGTCTTCAGCAAGGGTCCTTGGAAACTCCATAGCATTCACATTTATGTGTGTAGTTGAGAATGCCATGATGTGTGTGTGTGAATGTATGTCTGCAGAGAAGCGTTGCGTTGCATGTTTACTTCTGGGGCTCTCGGAAAACTCAGAGGTGCCACGACTCCAGTAACTTTAGGAGCTCCTGGTGACTTTTTATATTTGCAGATGTTGAACAGTTGGGAGAAAGGACCGTCTCACTCACATAGTTCAAGTAAAAACATAAAAGAAGAAATACATAGTCATATGTCAAGACAGCAAGGCAGACTCAAGGGCAAGGATCCTCCTTTTTTGTGGCAACCTGCTATTGCAGGAACTTAGGTCCAAAGAGAACTCATTAATGTCTTCCATGGTAGTGCCCCATTGCATAACCAACAGTAGGACTCACTTCAAACCATGGCATTGGGTGATCAGTACTCCATAAACCTTACACACTCAAACCAAATGAAATCCTAAACATATAACTCCTTTTTGCTTTATCACAGAGCTTTGGCAATTGGCATTGTATCAGGTTATTCTATCTACCATCGGATCAGACCACTCAAAAGTTATCCTTGATTGATGCAATCTATATTCTTTACAGAACCCCTGTACGGTTGATGACTACAGCTTTGACTCCACAGAAGACTACATGAATCTCACCCTCTCTACCTATTTGTGTAAGAAAAACAGTGTCAGGCAGTTTGCAAGCCATTTCCTTCCACCTCTGTTCTGGCTCGTGTTCATTGTGGGCACCCTGGGCAATAGCCTGGTTATCCTCGTCTACTGGTATTGCACTAGAGTGAAGACCATGACTGACATGTTCCTTTTGAATTTGGCAATTGCTGATCTGCTCTTTCTAGCCACCCTTCCCTTTTGGGCTATTGCTGCTGCTGGCCAGTGGACATTCCATACCTTCCTGTGCAAGGTTGTGAACAGTATGTACAAGATGAACTTCTACAGCTGTGTGCTACTCATCATGTGTATCAGTGTGGACAGATACATTGCCATTGCACAGGCCACGAAGGCTCAGATCTGGAGGCAGAAAAGGCTGCTCTACAGCAAGATGGTTTGCATTATCATCTGGGTGATGGCAGCTGTGCTCTGTACCCCAGAAATCCTGTACAGCCAAATCAGTGAGGAATCTGACACTGCCATCTGTACCATGGTCTACCCTAAGGATCAGAATGCCAAGCTGAAATCAGCTGTCTTGATCCTGAAGGTCACCTTGGGGTTTTTCCTCCCCCTCATGGTCATGGCCTTCTGCTACACCATCATCATTCATACCTTGGTACAGGCCAAGAAGTCATCCAAGCACAAAGCCCTAAAGGTGACCATCACTGTCCTTACTGTCTTCATTATGTCTCAGTTCCCCTACAACTGCATTCTTATAGTGCAGGCTGTTGATGCCTACAGTATGTTTATCTCCAGCTGTGATATTTCCACCAGTATTGACATCTGCTTCCAGGTCACTCAGACCATTGCATTCTTCCACAGTTGCCTGAATCCAGTTCTCTATGTTTTTGTGGGTGAGAGATTCCGCCGGGATCTCATGAAGACCCTGAAGAACTTGGGATGCATTAGCCAGGCCCAGTGGGTTTCATTCACAAGGAGAGAGGGTAGCTTGAAGCTTTCTTCCGTGCTACTGGAGACAACTTCAGGGGCTCTCTCTCACTGAAAGAAGTTCTCACTGAGGCAGATGATCCTTTGGAAATAATGAGATATATAGAAACAACACAGTCTCCCCACTGATAAGACTAAAGAGAAAGCAAATAACAAGGAAACGAGAAAAAGCAAAACGAAATAAAACAAACTAGGATGAGCCTAAACAGCTTTACCATGCTCAGTCAGGACAGGCCAAAGTTTTTGAAACTGACCACACCAGAAAGGCACCAGCTGGTTTTGGGTTGCAGTAACTGCAATTCTGAGGAGGACACTTGAGCAGCAGTGAGGACACCCCAGCCAGGCATGTGGTTATCATCAGTGCAGCTAGGTTCTGGAGGTGCTGAGTTTCTCCAGTGCTCCGCATTTCTGTTACTTCAGATCTGATGCTACTCTTTTCCAGAGGTGACAGAGCACTGGTTGCTGCCACAGACCACAAAAGCAAGGCTTAGTGACATTTTCCACCTTGGGATCTTTTCTCATTAGTCCCACGGGTGCGGGGGTTGGGGGGGGTAGGGGGTGGGGTGACTTTGTACATCTCATTACTTACAAATTTTTTAAATCTAGACTACACCCAAACAATCTGAGATTGAATGCCCTTCTAGGCCAAGGACAACTATTTTCCCCCATTTTGGGGCTGTTTGTAAGACAGGTTGTTGGTCAGCCCATCGATTGGAGTACACTGCTCCTAGCCCACTTCTGTGTCTGGCTGGAGATGACGTGTCTAAACCTAGTGGTAGTCTCAAAGAAGGGATCTAGCCTGTTCCTTGGTGTGGCAGAGTGGCCCTCACAGACTAAGCCTGAGAACATGTTTGGATGGTGGGGACCTAGCATTGGCTCTGTTGGGGCTTCTTCAGGGGGAGAGGCGGTAGTTCTCCGTTCTCCCATCTTCTCATGCCCTTTCCTTCTGAGGCTTCCAGGAGGGTGTCTGCCTCCCTGATACCTCCCCCTTTACTTTGGAGATGTTAAGAAAAATATGTAATATAATTCGCTTTCCACTTATGTTTTTAACTGTCGAATTTCTCACATTGGAAAAAGCATTGCATACCCTGGAAAAGTGCTTTATAATGTGCATTTGAAAACGCTCAACACTTGCCATTTATTTTACTCTCTCTTAATATAATTGTGAGCGATTAAATGTCAGACAGTAATTGTAAAGGGTAAGACTGTGGTAAAACCTTTTCTTGTTTTGGATTTCCTATGTGACCAATTTTTACATTATAATGCAGAGCTATAATCTCAAGTCATATATTCTTCTTTGCCCCTTACCCGAGTAATGCATGTATGCTTGCATGTTTGTAATAATAATTTCCTGAAAACAACAAAAATAGAGGTTGAAAGTAATGTTATCAGATGAATATCTACCATAAATTCCAAAGCATATGGATTGTGAAACAATGATGTTTGCTGTAAATTGTTTGCTTTCTGGGTCAGCTGGGAGTCTATGAGTTAATCCCTTATAAAACTCTGTTAACGTTTTCTGTAAAGTATTCCTCATTATTTCCCCAGATGGTGCTTTCTGTGGTGTTCAATAAATATAGAGCAAAATCCTTTATTGGGGGCAGACACAACACACACACACACACTCACTCACACACACGGAGAAGAGATGGAGAGGGAGGGAAGAGACAGAGACAGAGAGACAGGGAGAGATAGAGAGAAGGAGGGAGGGAGGAAGGGAGGGAGGGAGGGAGGGAGGGAGGGAGGGAGGGAGGGAGGGAGGGAGGGAGGGAGGGAGGGAGGGAGAGGGAGAGATTGAGATTCAAAAGATAGGCTTCAGGCAGGCACAGATTCAGACTCATGTAGCAGAGACCGGAGGGAAGACAAAGGGAGAACAGTAGAGAATTCAAATTTGAGCCTGCTCTTGGTGAGACGACACCAACGGCAAGTGCTTTGATTTCTTTCCTTAATGCACCAAACACTGGTGACTCAGAGTTTATTATTAATGCAATCAAACCAACTGCACTGATGCATAATAATAAAAAAACTGTGGTTGGTTAAGGTGCATGCAAACGAGACATGAGGCTGTGGAAAGAACATATAGGAAAAAAACATGCTGGCTAGGAGTCTTGATTACTGTTGCATTTGATTTAGTGGCATAAACACAGACCCTTTCCTATGCTCAGTGTTTTGTAGGTAAGGGATCTGGAAAGGACTCACTTGCATGGACCTAGCTGAGGGGTCTCTCATGCAGCTACAGTCAAAGGCTGGGGCTGTGGTCACCTGAGGCTTGGATGGGAGGGTCAGCCTAAAGTCAAAGGGAAGAACCTCTTATGGAAAGTGGAGTAATTAACACGACATTGTGGCCATAATCTCTAATTCTTAAAAATTCTTTGGGAATTTCATACAACATATTTTGATCACAACAGCTCCACCCCTCCAACTCCTCCCAGATCCATTCCCACCTCTACACCTACCCCGGCTTCATACCATCTTTTTTTTTTTTTTTTAAGATTTTGCTGAGGTATATAAGCTATAAGGGAAAGAAAAAAAAAAGAGAAGAAAAACAAGAATGAGAGAAGGAAATCACCAGAAAAATAAAGAATAGAGAATGCAAAAGGAGAATAACAAAGGTCTTAAAGGAAACCATCAAGAGAGTGCATGTCTTTTTCCCTTACTCTCCCAGATTAAAAAAAAAATCATAGTACCAGACTCCATGGATTCCCTTTGAGCCCTGCATTGCTGGAGGCTGGTCCCCTAGGCAGCAAAGTTTTCCCTCATCCACAGGCCACCTTCCAGCTTTCCCAGAACTATTTATTGAAGATACTATCCTTTCCACAATTGTATACAGTTTACAGTTCAGAACAAATTTTATTGAAAACCATCTGGCTGTAAATGCAGTGGTTTATATTTCTAGGGTCTTTACTCTGTGCCATTGTATCCATACTTTTTCAATTAGTACCATGCTATTTGGTTACTATTTCGTGTAGGTACTTTTGTTTGTGTTTTGGTTAAGAGAGGATGTCTTGCTATGTTGTCTGTGTTGTTCCCAAACTCCTGGACTCAAGTGATCCTTCAGCCTTAGCTTCCTAAGTGGCTGGGTCTGTACTATCTGCACAGAGTAAGCCCTGCTTGGAGCAGGGTTTGAAGTTGGACAGTGTGATGACACCAGCTTTGTTCTGTATACTCTGCTGTGGATGTAGGCACTCTTTCACAGTTCCATATACATTTAAGACTGCTTTCTGTTTCTATGGAGTCATTGACACTGGGATTGGGATCACATTAATACTACTGATTACTTTGGGTAGCATCAACATTTCAACAATAGTCATTCTTCCAGTTTATGAACATGCTACACTCATTTACTTATGTTCTCTTCAATTTCTTTCATTAATATTTTTATTATGAGTTTTTTTAAAAAAAGATTTATTTATTACATAAACAGTGTTCTGTCTGCATGTATGCCTGAAGGCCAGAAGAGGGCACCGGATCTTATTACAGATGGTTGGAAACCACCATGTCGTTGCTGGAATTGAACTCAGGCCCTCTGGAAGAGCAAGCAGCCAGTGCTCTTAACCTCTGAGCCATCTCTCCAGTCCTTGTGAGAGCTTTTATCTGTTTGGTTAACTCTTTTGTTGGGTGATTAGTGTAAAAATATTTACTTTCTTGATTTTTTTCAGGTAATTCATTATTTTCATATAAAAATACTAATTTTTCTAAAGACAGGTTCTTATGATGTAGTCCTAGCTGGCCTTAAATTTATGGAGATCTACCTCCCTCTGCCTCTGCCTCCAGAGTAAAGGGATTAAAGGCGTGTGCCACTACACACAGAAATAGTGATTTTTTTTTTTTTTGGTTTTTCAAGACAGTGTTTCTCTGTGGCTTTGGAGGCTGTCCTGGAACTAGCTCTTGTAGACCAGGCTGGTCTCGAACTCACAAAGATCCGCTTGACTCTGCCTCCCGAGTGCTAGGACTAAAGGCATGCGCCACCAACGCCCTGCATGATCTTTATATTAAAATATAAAAATGTATTTAAGGATGCGATTGTCTTCAAGCATGTGTGTGTATCGTGTGTATGACGTTCATGGGGGTCAGAAGAGGACATCAGATTCCCTGGAACTAGATTTGTAGATAGTTGTGAGCTGGGAATTGAACCTGTGTCCTCTGAAAGAGCATCAAGTCCTTTTTACCAGAGTCATCTTTTTAGTAGTACAATATGCTGATTTAAAAAAAATAGTGCAACGTTAACTGATTAATATATTAGTTCTAATGGCCTAACTAGATATAGAAAGTTGAAATTACCATTTGAAAGAGTTATGTTCCCTTCTGTGTTTATTGAAGCAGGATTCATAATCACTAAGATACAGATTCAACATAGGTATCCACACACACATGCATGGACACAGAAAGTGTGGTAAATTTACATAATGAAATAAAAAGAGTGAACTCCAACCAGCTGTGGTAACTTGGATGCATCTGGAGGACACTATGACAACCGAAAAGAACCAAGCACAGAAAGACAACTACTGAATAATTTAACAGGCAAGACTGTGGCTACTGTAGTTACTAAGCCATGAGTGGGTGGGATGATCACCCAGATATAGCATGGGTGTCTTGGGTGGTCCTGTTCTAGCCCCCATCCCAGAGTCCATGTCACTGTTGTATTAGTCAAGAAACCACTCTGCTGTTTCATTTGAGACACTTAGATAAACCTGACTTCCACTTCACCCAGTCACTACAGTTAGAGGCGTGATTTGAAGGCATCTTCAGTGTAAGAGTCTTCAGCGAAGTCGGGCGTAGTAGTATACAACTACATCCCAGGATTGGTTTGAGGCCAATCTTGGTTACAAAGTGAGACCATCACACCCCCCCTCTCTTACATACACACAAACAACAAAGTGACAATGCCATGCTCACTCATCCCACAACTCCGCCCACAGCCTTTCTTCAGGAGTTGCGTTCAGTACAGTTGGTTGGCCAGTGTGATTGTTGAAAACCTTTTTGCTAACCTAGGGCAGTGTAACTAACAAGGATCTTTATTGGTGCAGTTTTTTTAACACCCTCTTTTTGAGCTTATTGCTTCATATGGTGGGATATAATAAAGAAGAATGTGACAGCATTCCTTGCCCTCAAGGGAGAACCAAACAGTTACAGAAAACATGAATTATAGAGGCAGCAACCATGAGGAAATCTAGGGGAGGGGAAGATGCTTGGGGGTGATGGTTGAGGCATGTATTCAAGGGATGGGGTCTCTGGTCATCTCAAGTGTTAAGGTCCTGAGCACCAGCTCAGGAACAGTGCAGGAGTGAACAGCTCTCTCTCAGCATTCCTCTAACCTCCTTGCTGCCGAGCAGATGCAGCACACACACTGGTGGGAGTGTCGTTCTGCCAGGCATCAGCGCCACGTGCTTACTGACAATGAGCTTAAAGCTATCCAGGGCCCCTTTACGTCATTGTTTTGGCAGGTTAAAGTTTGTTCTTTGAGCACTGATACCGTTAAGAGAGGATCTGGAGCCATGTGAATGGCAGAGGAGGGTAGGTGGAAGGAACTGCAGGTCTGAGTATCGGACGCCAGAATGCACCTGCTACTTAATTAACTCTCTTCTGCAGGGCCCTTGTGAGATGTGCTGCTTCCCGCTGGGTAGTTCGGTTCTGTCACTCATTTTATGATTTATTCTTGTCAGAGGAATAAAAGACAATGCTACAAATGCCATAGTGTTTGCTTTATTTAAAACCTGAGGTTAAAACACATTTCCAAATGGCATAGCAGACACTGTTAAAGGAGCGTGCATATTCGGTGACACCAAACTCCCATCCTTCTGTGCAGATGAAGCGCTGGTGTTTGATGTGCTTCTGAGTAACGCTTTGGCAGATAAGAATGAAATGGGTTTCCTGACCCATTATCTCATAAGGCCACGCAAGGTGAGGATTAAAGAATTAAAGTGCACTCCTCCCCACAGAGGCCCAGTGTCACAGCAGTCACCAAAAGCAGGACATCTAGATTAAACACACACCAAAAGGCTCGAAAAACACCCCCTGATTAGAGAGGTCTCTTGAAATTTAAAAAGTGCTTGAGAGGGAAAAGGAAATTTTGAATTAGCTTTCCTATTTTGTTGGAAGAAATTAAGTAGATGAGGAAATTGTGCTAAGATTCTATCAAGTAGTGTTTGCTTTCATAAACATGAGCAGCACTCGATGGTCTTTGTATTGCATTCCCTGGTTCTGAGCACCAAAGATGTCTCCTGTCTGCCTCCTTTTCCAAAACCTCTGAGTCAAGAGTGTTTTCTCAGTGTAAAGAATTCTCACAGGTAGAACTAAGTCTGAGTTTAAAAACAAAAACCCACGAACATCAAACCATATCTGCAAGATTTCTTTTGGAGCCAGGAGTGGCTTGATACCCGGGGGACAACTGAAGCTGGTCAGAAACATCTTCTTTATTAATATATGGCTCTTCATTTCTACTTCCCAAACCATATGGAAATTTTCAGTTCTAGATTTTGGCTTGCTTGAGAATCCCTTTGCCTTCTTGGTTCAGGGTTAGCTGGAATCCAGGGTGCTTATCTCAGCAATGCTCTCCAAGTCCATAGGACAAGGAGGGCCACTCTGTCTCAGACATGCTTCCCTGTGTCTTGGAGGCTGGTTTATTTCTTGGGTGAAGTCTGGTAGTGGCTTCAGTGGCACAGGTAATCAGGCAGCTGACAACACTATTAACATGGCTGTTATGAGGGAACTGAGTCATTAGGGGAAGAGTGGCCCTTAGAAAAAGAATGACCCAGGATCTCAAGGATGTTTCCTTATGATTTTTAGTGTAGTTAAGTCCAACTGGGCCACCATCTTCCTCAGTGATTCCTCAATTGTCATTTGAAGTTTTGAAAAAGATACTCCAACGACTAAACCTCATTAAAATTGGGAACTACTTAAAATAATAAAGCTCTATGTGAAAGGCACACTTACACAGGGCTAAATGCTCTCTAGTAACTAGTGTTCAGGAGCATGAACTGGAGCATGACCAGTGAACTGATATATAATACAGCACAAGGTCCACTCAGCACAAAAATAAATAAACATCAAAGACAAAGAGTTGGTGAGAGCCTACCAGAGCACTAGGCAGTCAGCACTGAAGCCTCTCACCTCAGTTCTAAGTTGGCTTTATGAGAGCCATGTGGGCCTCCTGGTAAATGAGAGAGGTTCAGGATGAACTCAGATGGAAGAACTCAGGCCTCTCCCAGCAACTCAGTGAATGGTGCCTCTTGATGCATATGGTGGCAGCGACACCAGCAGAAGGCCATGAGTTTGGCCAGTGTCTCTTACATACCCTGGAAAAGCCAAGTCATAAAAATGAGACTCTAGTTGGTGTTGGATGTTGTCGGCCTAGTGAACAAGCTGGCTTCACTATTCCATTTGCAAGAGGGTAGAAGGTTCAAAGGAAAGATGATTTGGTCTTCAGCAATCTTAGGCCACATACAGACCTACAAGGAGCCACGTCAGTCTTCAAAGACTCCACTGCACATGCTGGCTTCACATTAAAAACAGTCACCAACAGGAAGCTATCTAAACTATTTGTCCTAGAACAGTAAGCTGCCTGCAGTATCAGATGTGAACTGATGAGCAGGATGTAGGCAAATGGAGAGGGAGTGACTGGCGGATGGAGGCCAAAAGGAAGTTATGCCCTGTTCTTCTGTTATGCTGCTTCTCATGTTACCAAAGGCTTTTTAGAAAGTTTCCAGGTATTGAAAGAGGTTCTTAAGTGGCTCTACTCACTAATACACTGTCTACAGGTGAGGCAGAAACTCTGGTGTTTATAAACAAAGGTAGATATGGGCTGACACATGAGCTCTGAGGCCAACCTGAGTTTACTGTAGGGAACTTGGCCTGTAGTTTTACTCCTGTTATCCATATGCAGAGTTGAAGCCTACAGGAAGTGGCTGTTCTTTCCTAGACCTCTGGTTGGTTTGTGAGTGTGCATGTGTGTATTTAGAGCTGCTGAGTGGCCAGGCTGAGCAAAGGCTCTCAACAAAGGCTCAGAAAGACAGCACAGCTCAGGTCTCCCCAAAATTGCTGAGTGGGAGGACCAAATCCTATTATGGATAAACTAAAGGATAGGGTATCTCTCCCATGATGCCCTATGGTCTTCTCCTGGAACTACCCAAGGAGTGAGTCCTGGCTTGAGTAATAGCATAGCAGACTTTTACCAACTGTGACCTCAGGTGAGGCTGATGGTGTCCCTAGAGTATAAACATTGGAGAAGATAGCTGAGTCTCATATCTGGTCCTGAGTGTGGGTATATGTGTTTAATGAGATGGGTGAGGAGTAGTAGTGTTTCCTTGGATGATGAAGAGTTATCAAAGTTCAGGTACTGATGCTATGGGAAATCGCTTCCATCGTAGATCACAGGCCGGTCAACAGTCAGGTGGTAAAATACTTTTTTGGAGATAAATCTGAAGAAAAAAAAAATGGAAAGTGAAGGTGTTACTTTTAGTGAAGAGGGTGGCAGCTGCTACTGTGGTCACATGGCTTGGTCTTGGCTGGGTGTAAAGCCAGTCTCCATAGAAACAGCTTTTGGGAACTGGGCAACTCATGGACCATTTTAGTGTTCTCTCCCTTCAGAAGGTCCAAGTACTGTCATCATGGGCTTCCTAGGGCTTGAGTGAAAAGTGGGTCTGTAAGTCTTTGTCCTCGCTTGCTGCTCTGAGGTGCCAGTGGTCAGGACTGAATGGGAAGATGGACTAGGTGCCATAGGAGGTCATGACAGACGCCAGAATGTATGTCACACCCGCTTGACATTTGTGCCATAGACAGCGACTACTCTCCAGAACATTACACTACCCCGGGTTTTCCAGGAGCCTGCTAGAGGCTGCATGCAGCCCTTGTCACAACTCTCTGGACCTACAGCCAGGCTCAGTGACTCCTTGGGGTCATTACAGAAAAAGAAATGGTTAAGTGGAGTTGCAGCCAGAAGAACAGGGCTTGGCTACATAGACACTTGACCCTCTCCCAACCCTGCCTCCTACTGCTACTGCTGCTCACCCAGATGGTGACTCCACAGAGAGCTCTGTGGAAAGGCTGAGCATACTCTAGAGTCCTACAGATTGAAGCAGAGTTCTATTATCCAGGGAAACACAGGACAAGTGGGAAGCCTCTTAGGTGGTAGACAACTCTGTCCATAGGCCTAAGGAGCTAGGATCTGGTATGGTAACATCTTTGCCTAGAGTATCCTATGAAGTTACTCTGCTAAAAGCCAAATGGCTGTGATGGGAGGAGATAGTCATAGCTAAGACAGGTCTATCTCAAGAAAGAGTCCCAGTAAAGAAGCTATCTTGGGAGCTAGAAGTCTTCCCTAGGGACAGGTGTCAAGACCTGTGTACCTGATAGATGCTGTCTGCACGGCTGTTCTGTCCTGTTCCCTTTCTGGCCACCTGCTTACCATTCTTTTTTATATTCTCATGCTTATTACTCCTGAGATCAGACCCCCTTGAGCCTTCAGCAGACCCTCAGTACTGCCTGAAGTAACTGGGGAGCTCAAGAGGGCAAGGCTGCTCCTGTGACATACAACATGGCTGCTGTGGAATATTAATTTAAAATATGTTACATTCATTTATGCTGTGGAATATTTGCTTAATGATGCACAGTGTGCTGAATTCTCTTATGTTGTATTTGTTTATCTCTGTAAAGCTGTGTTACTTTGCCTGTCTAAAACACCTGATTGGTCTAGTAAACAGGTGAATGGCCAATAGCTAGGCGGGAGAGAGAAACAGGTGGGGCTGGCATGCAGAGAGAATAAACAGGAGGAGAAGATAGGAGGAAGGAATGAGAAAAGGAGGAGAGGGGGATGCCAGGGGCCACAGAGTAAGAAGGAAAGAAAGATTAGAGAATAAAGAAAGGTAAGAAGTCCAGAGGCAAAACATAGTAAAAGAGAAATGGGATAATTTAAGTTAGAAAAGATAGAAACAAGCCAAGCTATGGCTGGGCTTTCATAAGTAAGAATAAGTCTCCCTGTATTTATTTGGGAGCTGGGTGACAGATCCCCGAAGAATAAAAGAAAAACAAACAAAAAACAAAACAACAAAACCCCCAACTACACATGGCCTAGAGGTTTTGTCCTTTCTTTGTCTCATTTCTTTCTTTTTCACTCACATACTCTTGGCCTTTCCTCTGGATTTCTCAAGGTCCTTTCATGGCCTGGCAGTGGGAATCAACCTGAGAGACGTGAGCACAACTGGGATGAGTCTGACCTAGAGCAGGGTGCCTGGTTCAGACCTGGCTCCCTCATTAGCCAAATGACCTGGAGTGTCATTATTCTACCCTCCAGTTCTTAGCCCTGAAGAAAGGGAGGAAGTTGTATGGCAGAGCTCAGTGGCTAGGATATGGTAAAACCCTGCAAGTGTTGACCTACTGCTGCAGTTTGGATGAGAAATGACCCCCATAGGCTCACATATTTGAACACGTTCTTGGTCCCAGTTTGGTGGTGATGTTTAGGGAGGTTGTAGAATTCCAGAAGGTGAAGCTTTGCTGAAAGAAGTATGTCACTTGGGGTGAGCTTTGAGAATTTATAGCCTTGCCCTACACTTGTAGTTTTCTCTCTTTGTTTCCTGCATGTGAATAAAAATGTGATTTGTCAGCTTCCTGCCCTGGCTGCCTGTTGCCATTATGAACTCTCCCGCTGAAACTAAAAATCCAATTAAACTTTCTTCTTTTAGTTGCCTTTAATCATGGCGTTTTTATCTAAGTAACAGTAAAGAAACTGACAAATATGCTTTATAAGACCTACCACGAGTAATGAAAACAGCAAAGGAGTCTAGAATCGCTAACAAAAACTTTGACAACCAAGTCCTGATTCTGAGTGTTTGCCTCAGTGCTAGAGAATAGAAGCAATGATACATGGACACAGGTGGCTCCATGAGATGCCATGATTAACTGAGGTACCTACCTAGAAAAGGTGTTGTCAAAGATAAGCAAGTAGATGCCAGGGGTTCGGACCTTCAGCTGGCCCCGGATACTCTCCTTGTGGGAATTGCATCGGGTGGTGGGAATGAGGACCTGTCAGGGAGAACAATAAGATATCACAGAAGCTGAAAGCCTGTGAGCCCTCTAGGCAAGATGATTGAGGTGGTAGCTATATAGCCCTGGGACTAAACTTATCCCCAGCAAGGGTAGGGTGTCACCTATGCCACTCAGTGTGGGGAGATGGTGGGTATGCTTCTTCCAGAATCATGAACTAGTCCCCAGCATCCCTGACCATACTAGTGCCAAGCTGTTCCATCATGTGGGGCAACTTTCATGCTTATAGGAAGATATTGACTAGCTGCCTAGTGCTGTCGTTAGGACACTGAGTCTTCTTTCCAGATGATGACATTTAGGCTCTCTATAAAGATCCTGGGCTTCCTCTAGGAAAGACAGCTCTAGCTCTACCCATGGCCTCTCACAGGGCATCAACACAGGCCCTTCTTTTGGATGGGTCCTGGATGGTTTTTATCTAAGTTGGATTCTTAGCCTCCTGATTATTCTCTCTGAATTACAAATTTATCTCCTACGGGCAAATCTGGGCAGTGTATGGGCCAGGGCTAGTCCTTGGATGGTCAACCTCATCATCATCAGGAGCAAGGTCTTCTACCTGGTTATCAGCTAAAGCACAGGCCTAAACTTAAAATTGAAGTTATATGGGCTAGCAAAATGACTCGGTAGGTAGGAGAGCTTGTCTTGCATTTCTGACAACTTGGAAACCATGTCAAAAGGTGAAAGGAAAGGGCTGGCTTTATAAAGGTATCCTCTGGTTTCCAGGTACATGCCATAAATATATATTCCCCCCTCCCCAATAAGGTATCCCCTGGTCTCCATGTACACACCATGAATGCATATCCCCACCACCACCACTAAGGTCTCCATGTACATGCCATAAATGTACCCCCCCAATAAAAAATAAAATGAAACAAAACTGAAGATGTCATAGGAAGAGATGATCAGTATTCTAATTTGTTTCCTTCCTTCTCTCTTCCATCTTAGAGGGTCATGTCTCCCCCAGTGCCTTACACTGTCCACTTAGCAAAGCCTACAAATAAAAGGTTATATAGAGCAGCAGCTCTATAGACCACTTTGAGCTCCTAATATAGCAAATGACATCAGAAGTGACTGGGCTTTGTGTGTGTGTGTGTGTGTGTGTGTGTGTGTGTGTGTGTGTGTGTGTGTGTGTGCGTGTGCGTGTGCGTGTGCATGTGCGTGCTTGGTTTTTTGAGATAGGGCTTCTCTGTGTAGTTTTGGACACTGTCCTGGCATTCACTCTGTAGATCAGGTTGGCCTTGAACTCACAGAGATCCACCTGCCTCTGCCTCCCAAGTGCTGGGATTAAAGGCATGTGCCACCACCACCTAGCTAGAAGGGACTGTTTTTATCTACTCTTACTCTGCAATGAGACAGTCTCACTCAGTGTGGCCTTCACTGTAGGCACAGGAGTCCCCTCCCAGTTGTACCTATAATGCCTACCTACCCATGTTGTGATTTCTAGCTGGAATCATAGGTGTTTATTTTCTCAGGTTTCTCTCTGTTTATATTTAGAATGCTTCAAGGACAGAATTGGGTGTCATCCTGTATCTTTTTGTCTCCAGTAGACTCTACAGAATGTAGGATACAGCAAAAGCTCAACTATTAGTTGTCTAAGGATCCAGCAAGGGTCCTATGTGTTGTTATGAGACATGTATATAGTAATCTGTTGGCTGGTCAAGAGTATGTGAGAAGGCCCCTGAATAGGAACTAAAGATTTGGACCTAGAAACAGGCTGTCTAGGTTCATGACTTTTCAGGGGACCACAGGCAGAGAAAACAGCATCTTTCATAGCTAACAGGTGACCTTGGCCTGGAAGGGCAGAGGGACAGCTAAATATCCCAGACATGCCCTCCCACCCCCAAGTTCACTGTGGGAAAAGACAAGGGAGGTCATTAAATCCAGGAAGGACACCCTATAAGTCTGAGACATGGCTGGCTGAACCAGGTCCCTAAGCTCCATCCGTCATAAGGATTGGTGGATTGATAACAGAGCAAGGGAGAAGCCCATAGCTCAGAGATGCTTGCAGAGCTAAGGGCCTAGCACCTGAGGCTTGCAGGAGTACTCTGACAGTAGAGGATTTCAACGTCTGATGCTTTATCTGGCCCACTGGTGCCAAACACGGAGAAATGAAAGTTGCTGAAAATAAGCACTGAGGAGCCTCTTGCATACTCTTGACTGATTTATACCCAGGTACAGAAAAAAAATCACTGCCAGCTGATTACCTAGGACATTAACTGCTTAAAAGTCACTTTTTGTTGCAATCTACTGTGTCCTGACAGGGTTTTAACCACTCCTTTCTCTCAGAGTTCAAATATAATTTGCATTTCTACACTTCATTATTCCTCTCTGCCTTACAAACATGGGAATTCAGACGCTGGGCCTTTTTTCTCACCCTATAGTGAGTCTGCACCCTACGAGCTCTAGTCCTATGCTTTGTGGTCTACCCATCCATCCCTTCTGTGGCTCTGAACTACTCAATTTGGGCTTCTCAGTGGAGTTGCTGAGGGTTGTCTACACTGTATTCCAGATGCCTAAGGATTTGAGTTTAAAATCTCTTCCCAAGCCAGGCAGTGGTGGCGCACGCCTTTAATCCCAGCACTCGGGAGGCAGAGGCAGGCGGATTGCTGTGAGTTCGAGGCTGGGTTGGACCGACAATACAGAGAAACCCTGTTTCGTAAAAACAAAACAAAACAAAAAAAATTAAAAATAAATAAATAAAACAAAAATTAAAAATAAATAAATAAATAAAATCTCTTCCCATGTTTCTGGTGTATAGCTGCATGGTTGAGAACTGCAGTTCTGCACTGCCAACATTGTCACCTAGAATAGCTTGGATATTATAAAGCTCAACTGTCCAAGTCATGCTAGAGCCATCTTTGCTGTTGTCTTTGTAGGTGACATATGAACATTCAAACCGAACAATTGGAGATGGAACCCATACCTCCCAAGGTATCCCAATCTGCTCTGTAGAGCTCCGTGAGAATCTCACCTCTTGCATGTCTCTGAGATTTACCTACAACTCTGTCCCAAGGTCAAATGGAACGTGTGAGCCACAGAAGTAACCTTTAGCCATGTGAAGACAGTTCTCCTGAACTTGACTTCTGGGTCTTGTTTCCCCAAGGTAATCAAGTCTTAGGTGCTTTGCCTGCTCTGGGGACGGTCTGCTCAGGAACCTGGTGTGTATGTTAAGAACCCTGGTAGGGAGCCTGGCCTACCTTGCACTGGTCGAGAGGTGTGTCTTCTGTCTCCTGGAAGACCACACTGAAGGAGATGCTCTTGGGGTCAGAAGAGAAGACCCAGCTGATAGTGAGGCCAGGCTCTGCTACAGTGATGGGGATCAAGCTGTATGTACTGGACCTCACAAACAGCTCCCTGTTACCCTCCCCAAAGCTGGTGATCTCATCCACTGTGAGGGGTAATTTGATCCTAAAATAAAAATGCAAAGAGAAACCTGGTTCAGTAGATTGTCTGAAGCTTTGAGGTAACTGGAGATTTGAGACTCTTGGTAGGTTAAACATGGGCACCCTGGATTAACTTGTTTATGAGATGCTCAGCTCAGACAAAAGCTTTGGTTTGAGTGCTTCCCACATACTTGTTGACAGTGAGTTACAGCTGTGAAAGATACAGGAAGTCCTTGCCCACATGGAGCTGAAAACCCAGGGAAACTATGGGGACAGCCTGACTTGCTCTGAGTCTCTTATTGGTAGGATTTGATGATTTAGTCCCATCACACCTGTGAGGCTGGCCCACAGCTCTGCCACTGTCTTTTTCCCTTTATGTTCTGCTTTCTCCTTTCACCCAATTAGACACACCTCCCACGGTCTCTCTGAAGATTTATATGAGAGGGGGGTGGAGGGGTTGAAAAGTCAAACCTGAGAGAACCTGGGTCAGATTTCACAACTGTCTTGAGTTTTGTTTTCCAAATCTGTAGAATGGGAACAATCATGTTTTCCTCACATGGCCATTGTGATAACACTGAAGACTGTGGAGCTGAGGGGATCCTTGGATCCACTTTGCAGGGGGGCAGTGTTGTGATAGTCTGAGGCTGAGCCACAAATACCGCATGAGATGACATCAGAGGGCTAACTTGACTGGCTGGAAATCCTTGCTGCCACTGATCCCAGGTGCCGACCAGATGAGTACATTTCCTTTTTCTTCAGTCACTCAAAGGCAGCAAGCTTAACCTAGGATTACTGAAACAGGGCATTCAAATGGAACTGAGTACCTTGGCTCAGTTCCTCAACAATGAAGCAAGGAATCCCGTCAGCTCCACAATCTTCAGTGTTATTTCTCCACAAACAAGTACACTACAAGCAGGTGGGGTTGGGATGTACCTCAGTGGTAAAGAACCTGTCTATTATGCACGAGACTCTGAGTTCAATTTCAAGCACTGCCTAATACAAAACAGCAAAATGAGACAAGCCCTACAAATTGGCCACATACAAGAACAGAGAAGAGTTTAATGAACTGCCATCAGACTCCACCAAGTTCTGAGACCAGCAACACCTGTAAAACCAACAACTAGAGGGCTAGTAGCCAGCAGACAGCCAAGACCAACAGCTAACAAAGGTAATCAGAGATGAACAGGAAACTTCAAAATGTGATTACTCCCCTGTGAGAGCAGCATGTGAAGAGCACACAATTGTCTCCTCAGTTGGGTGAGGAAAATATGCAGAGTATGGGATTCTTCAATTGGCTTGGCCTGTGATAAGCTCAGAGAATTAGCCCATGTCAACAGAAATCACCCCAGTCTTTGTCGTAGTTCCCTGCTACAAGTCCTGCCCCAGAAAACAGTCCAATGTTTTTTCCTTTCTTAGAATGATTCCTACTTTCTTTAAATTCTCTCACTTTTTGCTAACTTTTCTTAATAAAGCCTGCTTTTGCTTTACTTACTCCTGTATGTGTCTGTGTCTTTAATCATTACCCATTTGGCTGCATGTCTGTCCTTTGGTTATGATTGACTGTCATCTGGGTCTTTGAATTGCATATATCTAGGCTGAGAAAGGTCATGTTGCCCTTAAAGATCTGTATCATTCTAGTGGTGGTAAAACAGAGCACCAGGTGGAACAGTGTCCCTCCTTCATACTCCATTCTCTTGGGACCCCCTCCACTGGCACAAGAGGCCCACTAAGAAGCTTCGCACGTACATCAGCTCTCCTGACTTCAGCAAGCAGATTTCGGCATCCTGCCCCATTGGCATGTCTTCAGTGTCTTCAGGGGTTAGTGAGTTTGATGTGGTGTCCCTGAAACATCACAAAGGAGAAGGCCATTAGCTATTAGTACCCAAAGTCATATAGCCTGAGGTCTATAATGGAGTCATGTAAGGACTTCTGGGGGGACAGCAGATGGAAGACAACAGGGCTGCAAAAGATTGCCTGCAAGGAGGTGAGTATAAACACCAATGAGTCACTCTCCCCTCCCTCTCTGGCATCAGCAAACCCTTCTCTATGCACAGGGGAGGCAGGCATGATACCAGCACTATTTCCTCCTTCCTCTTTAGTACTGGCCCTGGGGCACAAGAACTAGAGCCCTTGCAAAGTTGGTTCTAGAATCAGCTACCCTGGCTGCAGCTCAGTCAGTATAAGAATAGGTCTCGGCACGGATGGGACAGAGCCATATACAAAGAGGGCAGAGTGAATACTATCTCTTCTTTCATTCCTAATGCATCATCAGGAGTACAGAAGGAGCTGCCTTCGCACTGGGGCTGTTCCAGTTTCCAAAGAGTGCTCTGTGGACTACCAATACACAGGGAGCAAGTGTCACATATAATAATCTCTCTCTCTTAGAAAGTCAGTGAGGATTCCAGGAAAGGAGAGGAGGCTGGGCGCACAGGGAAGTAGCTGTCCCTCTGGCATCATCAGGTAAACAGGCCAGCTTCCCGGCCTGTGTTCCAGAGCCTGCAGATCGCCTGGGAACTGCACAGAGCTCCCAATCCCGGCGGGAGCATCAGGTAAACAGGCCAGCTTCCCGGCCTGTGTTCAAGAGCCTGCAGATCGCCTGGGAACTGCACAGAGCTCCCAATCCCGGCGGGAGCCAAGCACCCCAGACACCAGATCTTCTCTCCCACCAAAGAGACCAGGAAAATAGAGGAGCCAGGGAGACCAGGGGAGTAGCTGTTCCGGATCAGGTACAACAGGACCCAGCATAGGGTCCAGGGGATCAGGTAGGAGGCTAAGCGCCCCAGATTCCTGTTCTTCTTCTCTACCCACGGACCAGCATTTGGACAAGGCATAGAAGAACCACCAGATTACTGGACTTACTAGCACCCACCAAAAGGGAACTCTGGTCCCCAGACCAGGAAGGGGCTCTTTCTGCACCCACTAAAAGAAGAGATGGGAAAGAGACAATACAAAAACACAGTCAGCAACAGAAAAACAAATATGACACCGCCAGATTCTAGAGACTCCACACCAGCAAGACCCCAATATTCCAACGCGAAGGAAGCAGAAGAGAACGACCTTAAAAGCACTTTCATGAAAATGATAGAGGCCCTAAAAGAGGATATTGGAAAATCCCTCAAAGAAATGGAAGAAAAAACAAACCAAAAAATGCAAGAAATGGAAGAAAAAACAAACCAAAAAATGCAAGAATTGGAAGAAAAAACAAACCAAAAGAGGCACGAAATGGAAGAAGAAATGAAGCAAAAAATGCAAGAAATGGAAGAAAAAGCAAAGCAAAAAATGCAAGAATTAGAAGAAGAAACATACCAAATAAGGCAGGAAATGGAAGAAGAAACAAAGCAAAAAATGCAAGAAATGGTAGAAAAAACAAAGCAAAAAATGAAAAAAATGGAGGAAGAAACAAACCAAAAAAGGCAGGAAATGGAAGAAGAAACAAAGCACAAAATCCAAGAAATGGAACAAAAAGCAAACCAAAAAATGCAAGAAATGGAAGAAAGAACAAACCAAAAAATTCATAAAAGGCAACAAACGGACGAACAGATAAACAGAAAATTGCAAGAAGCAATGCAAACGCTGCAAGGGTTGAAAACTGAAATAGAGACACTAAAAAAAACACAATCTGAAGAAAGGCAGAAAATAGAAAAGCTGGACAAACAGTCAGGCACTACCAATACAAGCATTACCAACAGAATAGAAGAGATGGAAGAGAGAATCTCAAGTGTTGAAGATACATTAGGAGAAATGGATTTATCAACCAAAGAAAACCTTAAATCCAACAAATCCTTAACACAAAACATCCAGGAATTATGGGACACCATGAAAAGACCAAACCTAAGAATAATAGGTATAGAAGAAGGAGAAGAAATCCACCTCAAAGGGGCAGAAGGCATATTCAACAAAATCATAGAAGAAAACTTTCCCAACCTTAAGAAATACATGCCAATGAAGGTACAAGAAGCCTACAGAACACCAAATAGAGTGGACCACAAAAAAAAATCCCCTCGCCACATAATAATCAAGACCCCAAACATACAGAATAAAGAAAGAATATTAAGAGCAGCTAAGGAAAAAGGTCAAGTAACATATAAAGGCAGACCTATCAGAATTACACCTGATTTCTCCATGGAAACTCTGAAAGCCAGAGAAGGTCCTGGATAGATATTCTACCTACACTAAGAGACCATGGATGCCAGCCCAGACTACTATACCCGGCAAAGCTCTCAATCACTACAGACGGAGAAAACAAGATATTCCATGACAAAACTAGATTCAACCAATATGTGTCCACTAACCCAGCCCTACAGAAAATTTTGGAAGGAAAACTCCAACCCAAGGAAGCTAACTACAACCAGAAAAACATAAGCATTAGAGAATCCCTCTCTACCAACAGCCAAAAGAACAAAGGGGCGAAATTCCACCCATAATTCCACCAACAACAACCATCGCAAATCGAAGAAGGATGAGCAATCAATGGTCATTAATATCCCTCAATATTAACGGCCTTAACTCACCCATAAAAAGACACAGACTAGCAGAATGGATTCGAAGACAGAACCCTTCCTTCTGCTGCATACAAGAAACACACCTCACCCTCAAAGACAGACATTACTTGAGAGTTAAAGGTTGGGAAAAAATTTTTCAATCAAATGGACCCAAGAAACAAGCAGGGGTAGCAATCCTAATATCTAACAAACTAGACTTTAAAATAAAATCAATCAAAAGAGATGAAGGAGGTCATTACATACTCATCACAGGTGAAACCCACCAAGATGAAGTGTCTATCCTGAACATCTATGCCCCCAATACAAAGGCATCCACTTCGTTAAAGAAACATTATTAGAACTTAAATCTCATCTAAAGCCCCACACAGTTATAGTGGGAGATTTCAACACACCACTCTCACCACTAGACAAGAATACCAGACAGGAACTCAACAAAGAAGCAAAGGGTCTAATAGAAGTAATGACCCAACTGGGATTAACAGATATCTATAGAACATTTCATCCACATAAAAAAGAATATACCTTCTTCTCACCACCACATGGAACCTTCTCAAAAATCGACCACATACTTGGCAACATATCAAACCTCAGCAGCTACAAAAAAATTGGAATAACTCCATGCATCTTATCAGACCACCATGCCTTAAAATTAGAATTCAACAACAACACAAATTGCAGAAAACCTACAAACTCATGGAAATTGAATAATGCTCAACTGCACCATCCCTGGATCAAAGAGGAAATAAAAAAAGAAATTAAAGACTTCCTCGAATTCAATGAGAATGAAGACACAACATACCCAAACCTATGGGACACTTTGAAAGCAGTGCTACGGGGAAGTTCATAGCACTAAGTGCTCACATGAAGAAACAGGAAAACAGTTATACCAGAGAATTAACATCACAGCTAAAAGCTCTAGAACACAAAGAAGCAAACTCCCCCAGGAGGAGTAGACGCCAGGAAATAATCAAATTGAGGGCTGAAATCAACAAAGTAGAAACCAGGAAAACAATACAAAGAATCAATGCAACGAAGAGTTGGTTCTTTGAGAAAATCAACAAGATAGACAAACCTTTGTCCAAACTTACCAAACAGCAGAGAGTGAACACACAAATTAACAAAATCAGAAATGAAAAGGGGGACATAACAACAGACTCTGAGGAAATCCAGAGAATCATTAGGTCATACTTTGAAAACCTGTACTCCACAAAATTCGAAAATTTAAAGGAAATGGATGACTTCCTGGACAGCTATCATTTGCCAAAACTAAATCAAGAACAGATAAGCAATTTAAATAGACCTATAACCCCTATGGAAATAGAAGCTGTCATCAAAAGTCTCCCAACCAAAAAAAGTCCAGGTCCAGATGGCCTCAGTGCAGAATTCTACCACAAATTCAAAGAACAGCTTATACCAATTCTTCTCAAAGTGTTCCACACAATAGAAGCAGAAGGGTCTTTGCCAAACTCTTTCTATGAGGCTTCAATAACCTTGATCCCCAAGCCACACAAAGATACAACCAAGAAAGAGAACTTCAGACCAATATCCCTCATGAACATTGATGCAAAAATACTCAATAAAATACTGGCAAATCAGATCCAAGAACACATCAAAACAATCATTCACCACGATCAAGTAGGTTTCATCCCAGGGATGCAGGGATGGTTCAACATACGAAAATCCATCAACGTAATCCACCATATAAACAAGCTGAAAAACAAAAATCACATGATCATCTCACTAGATGCTGAAAAAGCCTTTGACAAAATCCAACACCCCTTCATGATAAAGGTCTTGGAGAGATCTGGGATAACAGGGACATACTTAAACATAATAAAAGCCATATACAGTAAACCAACAGCCAACATCAAACTAAATGGACAGAAACTCAACGCAATTCCTCTAAAATCAGGAACAAAACAAGGCTGTCCACTCTCTCCATACCTTTTCAACATGGTACTTGAAGTTCTAGCTATAGCCATACGACAACAAAGGGGGATCAAGGGGATACAAATTGGGAAGGAAGAAGTCAAACTTTCACTGTTTGCAGACGATATGATAGTTTACATCAATGACCCAAAGAACTCTACCAGGGAACTCTTACAGCTGATTAACACCTTCAGCAAAGTGGCAGGTTACAAGATCAACTCAAGAAAGTCAGTAGCCCTACTTTATACAGATGATAAAAGGGCTGAAAGAGAAATCAGAGAAACATCACCCTTTACAATTGCCACAAACAACATAAAATACCTTGGGGTAACGCTAACCAAACAAGTGAAAGACCTGTATCGTAAGAACTTTGAATCTTTAAAGAAAGAAATTAAAGAAGCCCTCAGAAAA